TGATCCGACTTCGCATTCAAATCCGCACAGGGACTGATAAGGCGCGAATTTCCTTTTTGTGGCGGTACACTCCTCCTTTTGATTCATTTTTGGATTTTTGGTGCTAATTTGGCGAGATATGTACCAGGTCATCGCTCTTCCAAGTTTATCTAGTTTTCCGTATCTTCTTTATAATCTCTGAACATTTAGTCCTGTTTTATATATTCTTCTTGTAGTCGTTTACCACTAGTGCGATTTTACGATTTGGTTTTGCTCTTTGGAGGTTACTTCTGCTTCTCTACCTCATTTCTCCTGTTTTCCTCGCTAATTGATCGATAGTCATCATACCAGCCTGCAGCAGTAGGTCAAACTCGCAGCCTACCTCGACCTCCTGGGTGACTAGGAAAAAGGGCTACAGTTCCCAAATACCTGCTGCGGCAAATGTCACTGATGGTAAAGAAGAAGAAGATTTCAGGGACCTATCTGCCAGCGATATCATACAATCAGTTCTGCAGAGAAACACAGACTATGTGATTGAAAAGATGATGCTGGCTTTGAAGTCGAAACTACCTGTAGAAGCGGAGGCAGAAAAAAGAAGCAGGAGTGTGGTCATAGCAGGACTTCAAGAAAGCAAATCTGGGAAACCTCTTCTGGAGCGAAAAAGGGAACTTGAGGCCAATGTAGCTAGAGTCTTAGAAGTCCTTAAGGTGGACTGGTGGCCGAGTGAAGTATATCGTATGGGGAAAAACGATGGAACTAAGCCTAGACTAATCAAAGTAGTAATTCCCTGTCGATCTTCTTGGATCCAAGTGTCCAATGCCTACCCCCTGCGTCGGTCTGACCTGAAAAAAAGTTTACGTTCGCCGAAGTATGAATGGCTGAAGAAAGGGCCAAGGACTACGAGTTCAGACAGATGGCAAGGGATAGGAATAAAGAGAAGTCTCCGAGGGAATGGGTCGTCTACAGAGGGGAACTTCGTCGCACCTCGGAGCTTCCTCATAGACCGTCGCAGGGAAACTATTGAAGCAGGCCTGGCTTTTCCGCTTCTCTCCATGTTTTCCCATACGCAATGCTATAAGCATGAGGTCCCGACCTCATGCTTATAGCATTGCAGCTGGCGCTCTGACCGCGGAAGCCACTCGTCCATGGGGTGGGCGGGCTCGGAGAAAACAGGAGATGAGCGCTGCTTTCGCTTTGAAATTTCGGGGGGTTAGAAGTGGCAGAGAAAAATCGAACTTTGGCCCATAGGTTCCATTATGGGGGCTCCTACCCTGTGACCTTGTTTTGCCACGGGTCTCATTCTGCCGACCTACTGCCTTTAAAGATATCGAGCCAATCAATACCTCGGAGAGCTGTGTTTATGCCGCGAAAAGATGCTTTGTGGAATTCAGAACCAAGTCGTAAAATCGCACTAGTGGTAGACGACTACAAGAAGAATATATAAAACAGGACTAAATGTTCAGAGATTATAGAGAAGATACGGAAAACTAGATAAACTTGAAAGAGCGATGACCTGGTATATATCTCGCCAAATTAGCGCCAAAAATCCAAAAATGAATCAAAAGGAGGAGTGTACCGCCACAAAAAGGAAATTCGCGCCTTATCAGTCCCTGTGCGGATTTGAATACGAAGTCGGATCATCAAGGCACGCATAAAAGAGCTGAGGTAGAGTCTTGTTATATAGGTGGCCTTCGGACTTTCCGTCCTGTGCTATCTATGGTGAGTGCTGTGCTTGTGAATATGAATTTGTTTAACCTTAGCTTTGTTTTCGAATGATACTTTGGTTTTTTGTTGACTGGGCGTGTAAGTTCATATGATTTTGACTTGCAGGCTCTGAAGAAGGCGAAAGCGCCGAGTTAGCGAATAAAGAGTATTATCAACCTTGAAAGTTCTCTCAACCAGTTCAACTACAAGTATGATCTGTTACGTTTGATGAAGAAGCATCAGAAGCCGGAAGAAGTTATCATAATAGTTAGGTGGAAAACTGTGAACAGCCGCTATTTCTAGACGAGTATAGCGCCTGCCATTGTTACCTAAAAATTCCTCTGATAATTTACTAGTGCATTAATCCAAATAAACATCAGAGAAAATTCGCAGAGATAGATAATTTAGAAAAGTCCAATCAACTTTTGATGATACCCCTAGTAAGTGAGCTTGAACTTTCGCTCAAATATTAGGTGGTCCCGAAAGTTTTGTCCGTTTTTTCAACCTATCATAAAGACGCGTGGAACGAAGATAGGGAAACGCTCTAAGCATCACCCGACGCATCTTTTCCTCCTCTTTCTAACTGTCATAGTCTTGTGCAGATTACTTTTTTGCTCACTGAGATAAACGCCGAAGTTTCGAACCCATGGTTTTTACTATGTCCAAGTTTGACAATTTTTCACAACCTTCATTTTCAACTTTTAGAAGAGCTTTGATAACACTCAGATAGAGTAAGCAAAGGGCAATGCAATACAATTATTTGGCCTATCTAGCTGGCATTTCAATATTTTTAAAAATGATTTTTTCAAAAGTCTTCACTTTTGCGAAGTTCTAAAATACAGAAACGCCTCGAACGCTAACAAATCATCGGATTTTGAAGCTTTCAAAAACAGATTACGATTATTTACTATTTTTACGAAGCAAATGAGCGTTTACCGCACAGAAATGTAAGATTTTGCATTTTACGTGTACACGCTGGGGTGGGTTCAAATTCAAGAATTACGAAAATAATATCGCCAAAGACCCCGCAAATTGGAGAGAAAATACACTCACTGGAAAGAGGAGGAAAAGCTGCATCGAATAACCCTTAGTTGTGCGCCGTTTCACGATCTCTGGCTTTTGGCATCACCAAAAGTGGAATATGATAGCATCAGAAAAATAATTCTAAAAAAGTTTCAAGGCTGGCTATAGATGCCGCAAAATTGCATTATATTGCCCCTTGCTTACTCTATCTGAATGCTATCAAAGGTCTTCCAAAAGTTGAAAGTGAAGGTTGTGAAAAATTGTCAAACTTGGACATAGTAGAAACCATGGGTTCGAAACTTCGGCGTTTATCTCAGTGAGCAAAAGAGTAATCTGCACAAGACTATAACAGTTAGAAAGAGGAGGAAAAGATGCGTCGGGTGGTGCTTAGGGCGTTTCCCTATCTTCGTTCCACGCGTTTTTATGATAGGTTGAAAAAACGGACAAAACTTTCGGGACCACCTAATATAATAACGAAGTGTCACAAAGATTGAAGATGACCATGAGGAAATTTAAATACACTATAAGCTGTTATCAACGTAAATAGAAGGGTTGTAATTGGTTGTAAAATGTCAAAATCTAGTAGAGGGACTTACTGCAACATCTCAATTTAGGCTGGAAACTAAGTTTTGCAACTACTTTCATAACTCTACTATCTTTGGATGTGGCCCACTTAAACTTTGGCAGTATGTAGAGCGTAGTGTGAGCTACAATAAACCAAAACTGTTTGAATTTTGTTTGAGTAGAAAAATTCCAGACATTTTCGAAAACTAGTAAATTTTGAGCATTTTTGTGGTTATAAGCCAAAATGAAGTTTAGAACCATGCGCAATAATCCGGAATCGTGTACGAATTGTTGATGCGGATTGACTTATTCGTCTCACCAAAGAAGAAATAAAATTCAGGGCAAGTCGAGATTTGGCGCCCTCACAATTTTGAACGAGTCGCTGTGCGCAAGGCTGCTGGGAGCAGCCGTCAATGACTAAGGAATCAAAGCCACAAAAATCCCCAAGCCTTACATATTGAGGTTCTTTGACTCGCTAGACAGGAATATCATATTCATTTGTTGAATCAACGCCTCCTTCCTTGTTTGGGGTGAGATCCTCTACCGTAAGCCTACAGTAGTCTTAAAAAATGCCCTTATCACGCAACATCAGTATCGTTTCTGTGATCAGCATATCGAATAATCCCCCTATGCCAAGTTTCAGCCAAGTCGTCAAATTTCACAATTTTTCCCTTTATACCATATACCTACCGTAACCCTCCCCCCGGCTCAGAATTCGGTAGAACAGCAACTGAGCTTGTAACCTACATCATAACCAACAGTGGCAAAATTTGAGTGCGTCATGTTGAGTGAGAGGAAAGAATTGGATGAGTTGCAAAACTTAGTACGCAACCTACTATTAGAATCAAAGGGAGTTTCATGGAGGAAAACTTCACAATATGAATGCAACCAAAAAAAGTAATCGTGAAGGGAGAATATGAGTAATGTACTTATGTTTTCCTATAATTTTTTTTTGCATATTGCTAGAAAATGCAGCGTTCAGCAGCTTTTTTGGAAACGTTATGATAAACAACAGTAGTAAGGGGTGAATTAAGAAGTCAACAGATCAAGCTCACTTTTCAATTTCTGTAATATACTTCATACTAGATTGCTGCCTCATAAACAAAGAGTTCTAAATCATATCTTTACTGGCTACACAAACTTTTTCTACATGATTCCAAAAGTTCAAATTTATGCAACTTAATTTCATATCAAATGTCATTTTTCTTTTCTCATTCTCTCCAGTCGACATAACGAATTGAACCATTGTACAGTACTGTGGAATTTTGATGAGCGAATTGACGCAGGAGCACGTGCTTCCGTTGCCTATGACAATATCTGTGGAATGCTATGAGCTGATAAAAAGTACGAGTTTGATCTTAAAATGTTTGCTGGAGGTATATAAACAATGGACAATCGCTGTCGGTAACCTGAATCACTTTTTTACGTAGTATCATTCGCTCCTTTACTGCAATTTTTCATTAGCTGTACGACTTGTATGTAATTCCAAAAACCCCAAAATGAGATATTCGGTTTTTGTCTAGCTCTCCCCTTTCTCTAAAATAAACCACTTACACAACAAAGTTTTCAAATTGTATCAGAGTTTTTGAATTTTCTCTTTTGAAAAGAATTGAGGTCTTTTGAAAAATACTAAACTCAAATGCTGATTTTGTAAATTTGACACAGATTCTATATATGGACCTGGTTCTTGACAAGCTTTCAGAATTCCATCATTTCAAAGAATATTTTCAGAAAATGAAACGCTTACTTTTGCTTGCCATATTGGTGGCACTTCTCCAAGCGAAATCTTTCAAGATGCGTACACGATCTTCTGGTTCGCTTCGAGCCAAAATGATCTCGTAAGTTTACAAAGACTCATTCACTGTAAAAATAAATTTATCAATTATTTCCTGAATTACTTCAGAACCGGTCAGTATCGGCAGTACCTACAAAAACAACGTATGCGAAGACTAAACATATTGAAAAGAGGATCTGAACCTTTTCTAGATTACGCTGATGACTTCTATCTTGGAGAAGTCCAAGTGGGAACCCCCGGTAAACAAGTGATCTACCCATAGCAAATTTTTATCGACAGTTCTTGTTTAGGCCAAAACCTAACCCTTGTACTCGATACGGGTTCTTCTAACCTTTGGGTAATAGACGATGCTTGTAGAAGCGCTGCTTGCAATGGCAGCTACCATCACGGCGAATATCACAAGCACAAATTCAACACATCCAGGTCGGAGACCTTCAAGAGAGAAGAGCGCACATTTGTGATGGAATATGGGTCTGGTTACTGTAAAGGATATTTGGCTACAGATGTGGTCGCTTTCGCAGGTATGGATTATTTGATGGTTGTCTATCCAACTTAAAATACCGAAGGGAACCGAGATTGTAACCATTATAAAAGTGATGCTAGAGCTACAGTAATCCCACAAAAATATCACAATATTCCACGGCTCAAATGCACGGATGCGTTTCTGCTAATATTGATAAATAAAGTGCTAGTATCTGTAATATCGCTGCTCTAAGAGTGTAGGCGACAGTTTCAATTTTCGCGCACAAGACGAACATTACAGCCGCAGTGCTTTTGATGGCAAAAACAGGGGCTTGTAGATTTGCAAATAAGGGTCTCGAAGCGATAGGGGTAACATCGCACGAAATTTAGCTGCATTTGATTGCTCGCATGAAACTTGCCTTCCCAGCTTTAGAGACTTTAGTAAGAAATTTTCAAGATTAAATAGCATAATATTATTTGTTCACAATTTAAACATGATTTGTCCATAAGCTCTGCCACCTCACAGATTTGAATTGTTGTAAGGGCGAATGCGTCAGGCACGCTTTTTTGCACCGTAACATTGAAAATCTCCCTTTTGAAGATAAGCGGTAAATTCTGTCGGTACACCTTAAAGTATGCCTTCGCTTACACCTTGTTACTATCCCTTCCGGAACATAAGATTCTTAACAAATAACACAAACACCTTTTCCATTCAAGACTTAACCATTCGCAAACAAGAATTTGGAGTCGCTACGGTGATTGCCGATGTTTTTGGCTATCAGCCAGTGGATGGAATACTCGGACTCGGCTGGCCAGACCTGGCCGTAGAAAAGGTACAAACATTTTTTTCTCAGCGATATACTCAATCAAGATTTGTCAAGGTTGTTCCGCCTATGCAAAATATTCTATCTGAACTGGACAAGCCAATATTTACTGTATGGCTGGACAGAAAGGTAGTTTGCTTATCAAACTGGGTTTTCCCCAAGAGCAAAAATTTCAGATAATCCCCAGCCAAGGTGGCAACGGTGGTATGATCACATACGGTGATTATGACTCCGATGATTGTGCTGCGGAAGTCAACTATGTACCGCTGTCCTCACTGACCTATTGGCAATTCCCGATACAAGGTTTTTCAGTGGGAAACTTCTCCCAAAGGAAAACTGAACAGGTAGTAATGCAATCTGTCTCAATCGTAGTGTCCCTCTCGATCGGCGCAACCGCCTCGCTTTGCCAAGCACCGTTCGCTGGTGTTCGGTTTACGCAGCAGAATCAATATTGCTTGAAGCTTGGCACGCAAGACCCGCACGCTGCGGATCCGTAGCGACGTTAAAGGGACACTCCAATTGAAAGAGATTCTACAGCTTTCTCCACAGAAGCCCCTGTTCCAGGTGATATCAGATACCGGAACTTCTTGGGTTGGCGCACCTTACAGAATTGTAGAGGGGCTTGCCAAAGAGATCAAAGCCCAGTACGACCCTGAAACAGAAATCTATACTGTTCCCTGCTCCACAATGCAAACACAACCAGACTTGGTCTTCACTATCAATGATATCGAATATACTGTACCATCTGTAGAGTATATTCTTGACCTGGAACTTGGCCATAACAAGGTGGGTAAAACTGCTCAAAAACTAATACCAACAGATATTATTCACTAGCAATTAAAAAAAGTAAGAAAATCGTGGAAAGCGAATGTATTTGATATCTGAAAATCTACTAAATTATGCAGTGCGCGCTGACTTTCTTCACCATGGAATCTGGCGGTTTTGGGCCGTCATGGATCCTTGGCGATACATGGATCCGCACATATTGTAACGTCCACGACATTGGAGGAAAAAGAATAGGATTTGCCAAAGCAAAACACACTTTATAATATAATTTATAATTCTAATTTATTTTTAAAATAAAAATTTACACCTTTATGAATAAATTCTTATACATCTGCGGTTTTCATTGTTACAAAAATTGGTCCCATCAAAATCTCTCAATGATTGTCGCAATCAACATCTAGTGGTTTTGTAATAACTTCTTCCATGTTCCTGTTTCTCTGAACGGCATTTTGTACAATTCTAAATTTTGCCGTTCTTTGTTTGGGCCTTTGAAGACGTCGAAGAAGTCAAAATATTAGACCACTTGAATAAATGTACTACCATATCAAGCTAAAGCACAACAAAATTAAAGTATAATAGAATCGGATTCATTTGTGCATGAGATGCGTGCTTTAACGCATTCACGACGATACGACCCACCAGTGGGTCGTAAGTGTCCTGTCATTTCGGACGGTACGACCCACCAATGGGTCGTATGCTTTTCAGGTTTTTGATTTTGCTTGTTTACGATGGAATGTTTCGGGCCGACTGAATAAACCTCTGTATACATCTCTTGTCCATAGGATCCATCAGTGGCCAGAAAATATCACGAAAACTTAATATTGCGAAAAATGCTATATGCCCTGGTCCGAAATGGCAGTCATCGGAAAATTGGCGTTGTCGTGAATGTTTTAAGAACAGAAATACAAGAGGCGGTCTGTCACCTGTATTATGTTTGGTAGATAGAAATTTAGCCGTCAAGCAATTGCGGCTTTGCTCCTTATCATAGGATATGTAACACATAGTAGGATGGTTTCGAACTATGCCGCAGTTGTGGGAAAGAAAACTTTTGGTTGAGGATAAATCGGGAAAGTCTTCTTGGCGGCACTTCGGATAGCCGTGGTCAATAAGACCATCTGAGGTGTGGTGCGGAAGGCGACAATCCCCAATCTTGTGTCTATCAGAAACTCTCCTGTGTCAAAGTGACAGGCGGGGGGGGGGGACTAGGGGGTGGGGGGGGGGGGGCAGAAACATTTTTCGATGCCACAAGTGAAAATCCGTGAAAGTCATTGAGATGATGATACACTACCTCCATTTTGCGCCGATTGTCGCCTTCCGCGTGCCCCCCGACCATCTGGTAGAACCCTACCCCAGGGTATATATGCTATGTATTCCGAGTTACCGTAGCCTATTGCATCTGGTCCGGCCGAGATATCAATTTCTGGTCTACCACTGTTAATCCGAACTTTGCATTAATTACTGTTTTTTTTTCGCTATAAAAACAAGAAGCTTACTATTAATTTCTAGATCTGAGGTAGCGTATTCGTTTAGAGACCAGAGTGGATAGCCTTGGATAATTTGTGGATAATTTCGCGGAATTCCAGAAATTTCGCGAAATTTCAAAAATTTCGCGAACCTTCGCGGAATTCTTGGAATTCTGCGACATTCACGGAAATTTTGCACATTCTGTGAGCGGTATTGGTATCCTGCCAGATTACTCTGATAGCAACTTACCATGCAAAAGGTAAAGGGCTCCATCGGCCCGGGAACGGGGTCGAACCTTGGTTCAACCTGGTCATAGCGGCTCCTCATAACACTACTCCGCTCGTCTCCTCTCCACCTGTGTAAGCTATTAAAACAGCAGAAATAAAAAGTTGTGTGAAATGAGACTGAAAACCAAATCAAAATTTCAAAAGCATTCAAGATGCGTGAGCCCGATGTTACCTTGCCTATCGACAGTCTCTTGTTTCGCACTATAAAAATGTAAATTTAGCCAAAAATGAAGAGCTAACATAAGAACGGACTTAGTTTTATTGAGATATCACGTATGGCAAGTTTCGTCAGTAAAAAGGAGTGCTACCTCATAAACTTAGCTATCGAAATTAGTGGCAGTACTTTACCATCCGCAGTATTTTTGTGCACTGCTGAGGAGTTTCAATCTTATACTCTTCACTCTAATGCTCTACTTTGCAAAGAAAATTCTAATATCTGTCATGAGCAGTTCAGCTATTCATCAAAGTACATGTGCACTACTTATGTCAATGAATGTGCCTAGATTTGTCTCATCGATCTTCCTTGCTTCAACTGTCTGACGTCAATTTCCGAAAATGAATGCCCTAGACAATGCTATATGAGAAAAAAAAGCGGTCTGTGCTGCTGTGCTGCACTATCTGAGATTTTCATTGCAAACTTCTGCTGAGATCGTTGGAAATGTGCGGCAAGTTCGATATAGCGGTTGGTGGAGAACCCTCGATGGTGGAGGAACACACCAAAAATTCGTTGAAGAGGCATGGCAAACTTCATCGGAATGTCTCCTACAGATGATTGAATGAAAAACGGACTCAGCAGCAAGAACCTTGAACGGATTGCGAGACTCAAGAAATTTATCGTCGTCATACACCGACTACAACAAACTCACTTTTCTCACTTTTCCTGCATTAGATTTGGACCTTTTTACTCACAAGGGGAGATAGCTAACTTAGCTCGGCGTTCTCAAGAAAGACATATGAATTTTTCAGTTCAAACGCTAGTAAAGGGAAGAGTGCCTCTAGGTAAAAGGTGCCTGCCCGAAAAGGTGTTGGGATCTCAAAATAACATCAATTCGAATTGTTTCAGTGACAAGAAATTCGAGGCAACTGTATCACTTAGATAATATGTCGTGATGTCCGTAAATCGATGGGTATGCCACACTGTAAAAAGCTCATAACTTGCTTCAAATGGTGCACCGCAGCTAGGAATATCATATTTGGAATCAGCGTTTTGAGCTGATTCAGAATTTATGTGTATCTCCCGAAAAGGTCGAACTAAGATAGGTACTTTCGCTTATGAGTAAAAACATCGCAATTGATATTATTTAATGTAGACACAGTAACGCATAACGACGATAAATTGATTGAGTTTTACAATCCGTTTGATTCACTCTTGTGGCTGAGTCCACTTTCACTTTAGTTAATCAACTGTAGGAGACATTCAATTAGAAAATTTCCGCAGAACTTTGCAACGAAAATCTGAAATAGTTAGCACGGTGCAGCACAGACCGCTTTTTTTCTCATATCAGCATTGTCTGTCTAGTGCATTTATTTTGGGAAATTGACGTCAGACAACTGAAGCAAGAAAGATAACGATAGGACAAATCTTAGCTCCCTTATTGACGTAAGTGAAGATGTACTTTGATGAACAGCTGAACTGTTTTTATGTCAGATAATTGAATTTTCTTCGCAAAGTAGAAACTAAAGTAGAGATTTTGAGACAGAAACTTTTAATAGTGAATAAATACAGGGTGTCCGTAAAGTATGTATGCACTGTTTGATCGTTAATATCTCTTTTCCCAAGAAGTCTTTTGCCTTGCTTCAGGTGCCGTTTTGTAAAGCTGGCTTCAACTTAGATTTAAGGTATGGAGCGAATCACCCATCTCTCTTCATTACTGTAGGATTACGATGGAAACTTCAACGAGGGTTTTGAGCCATGAAAGGCCATATTTTGCCTCAGAAATGAAATAAAACATCTTGGAAACTTTTACACTAGGCTAATTAGAGCTGCTGATTTTAACTGTAAAGTTTCCAACTTGTTATGATGCTTCATTGAAGAGTTATGCCAGGTAAGAGGTAGCGGCCATTTTTTCAATATTCCTAAAAAGTGCGACTACACCGTTTAGAAGTCTTCGCAATCTTGTGAATAGTTGAGTATTGAACTCAGCGTCCATTGAAACCCTACTCCACACGTTTTCACATTTTTTGAAAAATTTTGAAACGACAGCTTTTTCCACATTGATACCATGTGCTTCAAGTTTCTACCGTAATCCTACAGTAATAAAGAGAGATGGGCGACTCGTTCTATACTGCAAATCTAAGTTGAAGCCACCTCTACAAAATGGTTCCCAAAGCAAGGCAAAAGACTTTTTGGGAAAAGAGATATCAACGATCAAACAGTGTATACATACTTTACGGACACCCTGTATACTGCGGAAGGTAGAGTACTGTCACTAATCTCAATAACTACGAGTTCAAAAGGTAACTTTCAAACTATACTCATACTCTTTTTTTTGAAAGCAATTTTCATACTTACGATGCGTCCAAAAATTACGTTGACAAACTTAAATGAGTAGTTACAGTTCTACCAGAGCAACTAGATGAAAGAAAAGCGTCATCAAGACCGTCTCATCCTTTTCTCCCAGAGCACATATATAGCTTGGATTGCTTTTTTTTTGAAGCAATCAGTGAGGAAATAGCAGACGAATGAGCATATTTCAAAAAAAAATTAGCATACTTCTGTAGATGAAAGGTTACGACAACATTGAAGGTGTCAAAACCGCTTAGTTCCTTGCTTTGAAAATATTAGCTTGGCGCGAAAAGTTCTTACATAATTCAAACAGAACTCAATGATATTGCAAGAGTAGATAAATTGATGGTTAGGTACAAAGATGGAGGAAAGTTTGCACTTCATAGCATATGTTCAAGCTCAAGATTTTATAAGTTAGCCACCGAGAATGAAGCTTTCAATAACGGCTCAATTCTTCGATTCTTGGTGGTGCTAGAAAACTGTGTAGGGACTCTAGTCCAAAACAATATGTAAAAGTTTCCTACACAACAAAAATCATTAAATTACTTGGGCAGGCTTCAATCTCGTAAGGAAATGCTAAAACAAAAAATTTGAGGATAGCAGAGTAACAATATAGTTCTACAAGAAAATTTCCCTATCGCAGTTTTTTCACAGAAACACGGTTTAGAACCTGGACTCAAACCTGGTGTCTATTTAGAAAACTGTGACACTTTTTGCAGCGGAAAAAAGCGTTTTTGCCTAAAAGTGCAGTAGAGGTGACTTTTTGCGTAAAATAACCATTATCTCAAATTATTGTTTATACTTTACCACAAAGATTGAAGCCTGCTCGAGTAACGTATGGACTTTTAATGTGTAAGAATTTTTTACACATTTTTGGGCTAGCTGGCAAACGGCCTTCCGTGAATTTCTAGCACCACACTCAACATAATTTGAAGCGCCATATTTGAAAACTTTTTCTCGGTGTTCAACCAGTAGAATGCTATGATTAATTAATTTCTATATAAAGCAAACCCTCTACTATTTTTTGGAAATCATATACTGAATTCAAGTCCAGTATTTGTGAAGTTGTTGCTAATCGTTTAAATTACACAAGAACTTTCGAGCTAAGCTAATCTAGTATGCCAGTTGAAGGATGAAGAATATATTTTGTAAACGATATCAAATTTGTAGAATCGTTTTTGTCCAATAAAATATTCTGAGACGCAACGTGCTAGATGCGACGAAGTGCCCGAATCTACAAAATGGCCGCATGTCAATGCAGAACTGACTTAGCCAGACATGCACCATTGAAAAATTGCGCAAACGATCTATGCACTGGTTTTGCTGATAAAAAGTACAAGTTGCTGTCCTGAGTCTTGGAATTTTTGATAGACGTATATAAACCATTCACAAACTGCTAGCAACATCTTCATCCTCAAGAACATTTCAGATATTGGCTCACTTACCAGTTTATATCAAAATTTTTAGCAATGGTTTGAATCTAGTATTCGAAGTTTGTTTACTTTAGCCTATTAAGAATTAATTATAGGTAAACCCTATACAAAGCTTTTGCTAAGTAGCAAGTGAATTTCAAGGTACCTGGATACTTGCTGATAAAAAGTGCCAGTTTGTGTCTGGCTTAGTCTTAGAGGTAAAAATTTATCAAACATTCAAAAGCTTCAAACTTCAACAATGTTTCTTTATTCCTTTGGAGCATTTTCTTATGAGTTTTGCTACAACTTCCCTCTTCAACTATTGTCGCGGTCTCTCAACTTCGAAAAAAGATTTGAGTCTCGATTTTGATCTTTCTATATTTACAAATCCTGTAGTAGTGCGCTCGCATCATAATGAAAGAAAACGCTACTACAGTGAAGAAGAATCTTTTAGAAAATGAGACTTACACTACTGCTTGTCGCTTTGGTGCTGCTTATCGAAGCACGTTCGTTCACCATGCGCGTGCGATCGTCAGGTTCACTTCGAACTGAAAAGACCCTGTAAGTTTTTCAAAATTCTATGGTACAAGAGTTGCAAACTTGCAAGTTAAAAATATCTCATCAGGAATGGCCAGTACCAAGAGCATCTAGGAAAGCAACAGTTGCGAAATTCAAATGTTTTGAGGAATTATAATGACGAATTTTTCGTTGGAACAATCGAAGTAGGATTTCCAGGTACGAATCGAGCCATCAGCTTTACAGCAATTTTCCTAAAAAGAGTTGCATTTCAGGCCAGGAGGTAAAAGTTTTACTCGATACCAGCTCTGCAAATCTTTGGGTGATAGATGACGCTTGCATAAGCGATGCTTGTAATGAAAGTTACCATGGATGTTCCAAGCACAAATTCAAAACTTCCGAATCGAAGACGTTCAGAAAAGAAGATCGGTCTTTCGTGATGAGCACTTGCGAAGGATATTTGGCTAAAGACGTTGTTTCATTCGCAGGTAATATTACTATGCTTTTCTTTATAAAGAGTGTCTCGAGCTGACCTGAGGGTAGGGTAAAACAAGTAACCAAAAACCGAAATCTCTTTTCCAAATTATACCTGAAGTGGGTGCAGGTACACTCTGATAAACCTGAATACCCTGATAAGAGCTGCCTCTGAAAACTAAAGACTCCTACAAGGCGTGCAAACGGATTAGTAGTCTTCAGAAACGGTGTCTAATGTCGATTTTTCGTTTCTTCAATTCCTGAAGCTCACTGCGCCTGTTTATGCGTGAAACTGGTTGAAAAGCGCTAGCAAACATGATTGAAGAAAAAACTCTTGTTTTGACTCTGAACACACTTTAGCAGTTTTTCCGCAATTATATGGAACGTAAAATCGGCACGTCTTTTGTGATTAACGTTCAAGGACCAGCTAGGCTTAGGACCAGTTATGTATCCCATAATTCCTCTACGATTACTACTTCTAAAAGACAATTCTCGAAATGAAAGAAGACGAAAGCACTGGCATGGAATCAATGGTTCGGGCAGACGAGGGCATAAAAACAAAAGGCGCACCAGTATTTACATTCCAAAGTACCTGATGCCAGAAATTACAATGCACCTTGCAGAGCTCAAAGACAGCGTCCCGGCAAAGCGAGGATTGTTCGGCTAGCCATGTTATAAGCAGGGTTGAGCGTGTGGTCAGGCGCGCCCGACCTGGGGATCGTATGGAGGGTAAGACTGAGGGGGGGGGGCTCGTAATCAAGAATCGAATTTGTTAAGTTGAGGAGATACTGCGAAGGTGAAGAAGAAATGCGCTAGTCCGTGGATATCGCGATCACATGAAGGAATGACGGTCATAAACAGCATACTGATTGTTTCCACAATGGAAGTTTCGACCAAAATTCGATTCTCCATCTCTTTTACCTTGACATATGAGGTCGAAAGGAAGCTTGCTGTGTGAAATGGGTATCATTTCCATAATCAGCATGCCAAATTACCTCTATGCGCTCTACAAACCGTTACCTACTGCAGTTTCTAGTGTTTCCCAACGTCTAAAAAGCGTGATTTCCAAACATGATCAACTTGGTTTCAGAAATGAGAAAAGTCAGCTTTTGTATGCTCTTAACAAAGAAATGTTCTCTACAAGTCTGTGCTACAAATCGGGCTTCACATCGCTTTCAAACAGTGAAGTAAGAAGTGCTGCCCAAATTCCAAACGGCGCACTTTTTACTTGAGTATTTCAACTCCTCGGATTAGCACAAGGCCGAAACAAGTCGAATTAAGCTCAAACACTTTCTGTTGAATCTTCGAGGATTGAGCTAGCGAATCACATAAAACTTGGGTAGAAAAGCTCCTTCGGAAATAAAGTTAATGGGGTCAGGCGCAACCCCTCAAAAGGTCAGGCTGCCTGAGCTTTTGAGGGGTTGCGCCTGACCCTCTTAACTTACCTTCAAACAAAAATCGCCCCTTTTTTGATATGAGTATTGAGCGCAAAGCCTCTTCTTGCTATATTGAGAATTTGGAGCCAAACACTCCACCCCTATGAAAATTATATCTGAAGAGAGGACTGTCCAGATCTAAAACTTGCCGTCAAGTTGCATGTGGTTGTGCAATCGCAGAAAGTCGGGCCTACAGACTTTCAAAAATAGAAACCTGCAGTAAAGGCTGGTCCTGTTGAAAATATAACACCCTGAGGACTTGAAGGTGAAGTGGAGGGTCGTTTAGGGGCTTTCACAGGGGAAAGGGGTCGTTTTTGAAGGGCTTGTGCCTGACCTCTTGCTCAACCCTGGTTATAAGGCTCGCGCTAAGCGATGCCTGAGGTTTGGAGCGAAAAAGAGCGTTTACTAAGCTTGAGATTTGCCCCGAAATGGCGCGGATTATACAATAGGCCCGGATGCTGCCAGCACAGCGATTTCGTACTGCAAGGCCAGAGAGTATATGACGCACACATTCATGGCCATAAGGTCTCACAGCGACTCTGCGTCTTAAAGGCAGTGTCCAGGCAAATCTGACGATATGGGTTTTTTGCCTGGAAACCGTGGGGGGGGGTCCTAGTTATGGCACTGCCCAAACGGCAGCGCACATTCATTTATGGCTAAGAAATCCACCTCCAAATAGTCCGCGGCTGCGCCGTGACTGTAACACTTGGGATGGGTCAACGCGAAGGTAGTGTTAAAGTGAGCAAAGTCGTTTTCGGTCACGGTCACAGCGCAGGTGCGGGGTTTTCGGTAACGGATTTCTCAGCCGTGATTGAACGCGCTGGGGAGTGCCTTAGTCAGAAACCCCTCTTCAACTTCCAGGCGGAAAACCTATGCGCCCAGATTTGCCTGGACATTGCCTTTAAAGGCAGCGTCCAGGCAGATTCTCAGCTTTTATATTTTTATGTTATCCAGGCCTTTCCACGGCGCTGATTCCGAATATGGAACTCAAAAAGCGTGAATTTCTCAGAAAACCACCTTTTGGGGCTATTTTGGGAAAACCCGGACGAGTGCTTCTGATGTTATCCTTGTCGAAAGCAAGTATTAACAGGTAAACGCTGTAAATTCGCCTGTGTTGGTCGTATGAAAACACGTCAAGGCTGAGGATTTGTTCATAAGAATTGGCCGTCCGACGAAGGTGGGCGTAGTCGTCGAGCTCGGATCTGCCTGGACGCTGCCTTTAAGCCTGGCGGCGTTGGCGTCCTCATGTCCTAACTAAAATCTGGGGCTCCAAGCAAAGTCCTTTTCCGACATTTTCGCATTCTGCAAGCTGACGACGAGTCAAATCGGAATCAGCAAGGATAAGCTAAAAGCAAAAAAATCTTTGATTTCAGAATTTGTCGAGACGCTGCCTTAAGTGAGTAGTTTAAGGCATGGCAATCATTGAAAAAAAGACAAGTGAGTGAAACCTGGCGTAAAAATTCTGTCACCCTCTATTCCTACTTCTCATAGCTCCAACTATGGCAGAATTACGTTTGCAACCGCCGCAGTTATATGTTGCAACTACTTTCGTCTTGCAAGAATGCGAATCAAACTAGCAAAATTGATAAACTTTTACAGAGATTAATTGCTATATACTTTGAGAATCAACGATATTTGCCTTTTCGCACTGAAAATCCCAAGATGGCTCGCTAGGGTTGGTCAACAAGAAGACGTAGTTTAAGCTGTCAAAATTTCAACTGAATCCATTTTACTGACTTGTTAACTTAAACTCTTGGTTTCGGAGTTGGGATTTGGTATAGAGAGCTGGTGAAAATCGGACAATGCTAACTATTATGTTTTTTGTAGAAGTATTTTCCATTTTACTTTGTTCAGCCCTCATATTTTTAAATATAGTCAAGACCATTAGAAGCAGCAACCCCCTCGTAACTTAGTGCGCACCTGCTCATACTGATAGTGCAGCGGGAAGAAAATCATGCATTGAAAACCGAGATGTTGTCTTATAAAGGCCTCGTTTTTGAAGCCTTACAATTTCTTTCAATTTTCCTATAGCTGGTAATCAGCTCATTTTGCGGCCGCAAGCCAGTAGTATTTGCAGTGCAGAAAACACCTCGGAAGAGTTCTGCGAGATGAAAAGATAAAAATCCAAAACTGTCAACCCTTCAGCCTATTTGTGGTAGGCTTGAAAATCCCAAATTATGAAAATTTGGATTCTTCTTGCACTTTATAGCTAAATTTCTCTGCAAAAATTGTAGGCAAGATGTTTCAATCTCAAGTTACAGAAATGAGCGAAGCTTCCGCCATTGCCTTAATCAGGGAAAAATTTTTACCCCATAAAGTACCATGCAGCGAGTAGCTATTTTGAGGCGTCGATTTCTCAGTCCAGATATATTTGAAAAATTTATTCAAACATGCAATAGGTAAACAATACTTATCCCATACAAAATCTATGTTTTCAAAAGAGTTCGTTCATTGCGCCTGACTTGTGGCCAAGAAAGTTAAGCCATGAAAATTCGAATTTAACACATTCACGACAATACGACTCACCGATGGGTCGTAAGTTTGATAAAGTGAAAAAGACTCTAGTCCGGCAGTAATCGAAAATCGGCATTGTCGTGAATGTGTTAACTGCAGGTGTGCGAGATGCTAATGAAATTCTCACAGATGAGATAGAAGCTTAATTTCACTGTTGGAAAGTACATGAGATAAAAATGATATGCAGAATCCATACCGAAGAAGAAATTTTGAAGGAAAAAAGTTGTTTGGAAGGTAGGACTAGAAAAACTGACATTATTTCTAACCTTAGCCGGTTCCTTCTTTCTACGATGGAAGTGTGAAGTGGAAAAGTAATTGTGAAGCAACGCTAAAACTAGCTAATCCTATTGCAGGAAGTTATATTAGGGTAGAGATTGATAGAAAGTTGAGTCGTTTTGGAGAAAGCTGAGTATTTCATTCTTCAACACGTTTACGGAACTTCCGCAAGCGCTTTGCGGAAGTTCCGGTCATTTGTCTGAATAGACGGTTCTTGCTGTAATAAGCATGCTCGCTTGTTCCCCTCCTCCCGGGTCGATGCCACCTCATGGTGTGCGCAAAGTCTAGTATCAGTGTATGTGCTAAATAGGAACGGAATTTTCTACTCACCTAAATGCAGACACCAGCACTCTTTACAAATTAGCTGAATTTATTTCTTTTTTTCTGTGTTGCTCAGTGAGCAAACTCCTAACACTGGTCCTGATAAAACTCTGCAGTGAACAATCACTGTGCAGCAGTAAATCTGACGGTTCGTGTAGTGGTATTGCAGTTCCGACACTCATTGCGCGCAAAAAACCTTGTTGGAATGAGTTCGAAACGCTCGAAACGCCTATAATCTCCATATTAGAAGCATTGGGCACTGTACAGCACTACGCTGAGTGATTCATAAGATAAATCTACGAGAATACTTACAAAGTACTCTTATGTGCTGAGCAAGTCAATCTATAAGACGATACTTGCTGATAAAAAGTACAAGGCTGCTTAGTTTGAGCCAGTTCAGAAATCTCATCTCACAAGCTTGATAAACGCCTAAGGTAAGATAGGACGTAAGAATTCCATTGATTAGAGGTTGAAATATTACTATTTGTAACTTACCACGAGATCTGTGAAA